GCAGGAAAGTATTACTGCTGTTCCATGATATTCAGCAAAGTTTGCTGCTACAGCTCCCAGCAATGAGGGAAATCATCTCTAGAGGCTACAGCAGTCCAAGGGAACACAGTGTTTACAGGTCAAAAGGTTACTATGTGGTAAGCTGATCAGCCTTCAGTTTACAAGGAAGAGTAAATTAGGATTTCCTCTCCAACAGGAAGGCTGGTTGCATCCTACATGAGCAGGTGCTAGAGCAGTGCTCGTTTCACTTCCTCCTCAAAAGATAACGTTTACATGGAGCTCAGCTCAGCTCACCCAGATCAATAACCAGAAACCAATCAGGAATGGATGTGCTGTCATCTAAGAGAAACATGCCAAGCCAAAACACAAGGATGGGAAGGGTCAGTGACCCACTGTGAGAAATTCAAAAGGTACAGACACAAAAGCAACATCATCCAGAAAGAAAAATGTCAAACCAGAATTCCTATTTGAACTGCTAGTGCAGCTCACAGTGGGGTAAAGTCACTTCTCTCCTGTCCCCCCAGGCAAGAACCAACTATATTGCAATTCTAAGTGCTTCACATCTGACTAAATAAGCCAGATATAGAGAATCCATAAGGATTCTCATTATTCAGGGAACAAAGAAAATTCTTATTGGAATCAAGATTCCTTTGTCCTTCCCTTCTGCTGACTTCATCAGCTCTAACTGGTCTTTCCAACCCAGTGTATGCAAAACAAACTCAGACCTGGCTTAATCTTAGCCCTTTCTGGGTTAGGAGCAGCACAAAGCAGCTACCATAAATAGATTGGTGCAGTTTAGGAACTTCCTGATGGAAGGTTGAAGCTCAGGCATCTGCTCCCAGCCCAGAGCATCCCTGTGGGGCACAACTCACACCAACTGTAAGAGGGAGACAGCAACAACTGCTAGTTTTCTTGAAACCAAGAAGATGCAGAGGAGCTCTGGTAATTCTACTGGCAAGTTCCATAGCTTCCACCTTCCTGAGGGGAGAGCCTGGTGCAATAGAAAATGAGAGCTCAAATAGAAGGCTGGAGGCCTTCTATTCTATTCTATATTCTATTCTATATTCAAACAGCAAAACTTCTGGACAATCATAGAATCAACCCGGTTGGAAGAGACCTCCAAGATCATCAAGTCCAACCCTATCATAGTTACTAGTCCATGGCATTAAGTGCCACAGCCAGTCTCAGCTTGAAACCACCACCTCCCTGGGCAGCACATTCCAATGCCTGATCACTCTCTCCCTAAAAAATCTCTTCCTAATATCCAACCTAAACCTGCCCATGGCAAATCCTACAATGGCAGTTATGGAAGTGACATGGAAAGGTGAAGAGATGTACAAAGACCCTGAAGGTGTGCCCATAGTCCCTCAGCACCTTCCATGATCCATATCCAAAGGATGATTCTTCTCTGCTGACACAGCACAAAGCTCAGGTGCTCTCCATGGGCAGCTTCAACTCGGATATAGTTTGTACTACGTTCACACACAGTTTATTCTCCTGTTTCAATCACTTCTGGTTATTTGAGAGTGCAGAACATTCTGTGCAGAAAGTTCAGCTGAGAAACTTTGCACTGCACATCTCATCCAATCCCTCATCTCTGCTTAACCTTGCAAAAAAGCCTTGTAACACACGAGAATGAGAGGACACCTAAAAATATTCTGCTCTACACCTATCTGCAGAGTTTTGTCAGCACTTTGAGTACACCTAAACCACGAACATGGAGAAAATCAAAGCTATTTCTGAAGTCTAGGTCAGAATAAATGCAAGAAACTCTTAGGGAGGATGTAGGGAATGTGTTATAAGCCTTTAAATACCACAGGTTACACCTTACTGCCACATTGCACATCCTACAGAGGCTGAAGTGAAGATCATTGTGATGGATTCACGCACCTTTTTTTAAGCATTTTTTGGAGGGAGCTTCTCCCAACCACGTTTCAAGGGCCAAAACACTCCACACAGGAAAACAAAGCAAAACAAGGTGACATTAAGAGCAGAAGCAAAATTCATCACTCAGGGGTGGGGGAGAAATAATCCTCTTAAATAGAAAACCACTAAATTTGCTACTGACGTGAACAGGATGGTGCTGCATAGGCAGAACAATAGCTTTATATTAGTGATTTACTTAAAATAACCATTCAGAGAGTCTGTTGAAACTTTTAAGAGCTCACTTGTGGCATAGCAGGAGGCAATACATTCGAGCTGTTGGAACCTACAGCTCTGAGCACCTGGATTTGCTGTGAATAGACAGCACAGTGCTCATTCACTGAGGCTCCTCACAGAAACTTTCCCCCCTGTTCTATCTATGAAACAGGCAAGACAGTTTTGTGACAAGAGAAGGAAAATGTGCTAATTAGTGAACTCAGATAATTAAATTACCAGAAAGCTTGTTCGCTTTTCCTCTCCCCCCAGCACAAGGTAACAAACCTTCCCTACAAGTTTTTTCTCCTCTAATAAAGGAAGTTATTGGAAGCTAAGCCTCACTCCAGTACTGCTCAGAGGTTTGAGGATGAGTGGATAGAGGGGATGGTCCAGGGTGTTCTAGGCAGGGCTGCCCAGTTGACTTGCAGGAGGAGGTATGAGGGTGTGTGTGTTTGCACTGGTTCCCAGCAGAACACACTGCCTGGGCACTCCTGTGGGTGCTGTGTGGGTCACAGCACAGAGCTATTCTGGAGCAAAGGAACTGGGTTCCTTTTAGGTTGAACCAAGGTGACATAAGACAGTGTGTGTATTCCAGGAGCACAGCCAATGTGCTCCAGCTGCAGACAGACAGTCAGTCCACGAGAACAGACCAGAGTGAGGCTGACACTGAACACTCTGAAATGTTTTGAGTGCAGAAATTGGGTTCTCAGTGCTGCTTTGATCTGCTGTTCTAGTTCAGCTGCTCTACCCACACTGTTGTAGACAGAAGTTAAAGCACTACATGTTTTACTTCCTGTACACCCTTCTTATATTCCACGGGAAGCAGCATCCACCATCAGGACATGATCTGTCCTGCCATGGCTTCAGGGAGAGGACTAGAGGGAATGGCCTTGAGCTGAGCCAGGGCAGAGTCAGATTGGATGTGAGCAGAAATGTTTTCCCTGTGAGGGTGTTGAGGCACTGGGATATTGCCCAGGGAGGTGGTGCAGTCACCACCCCTGGAGGTGTTTCAGAGGTGTCTGGATGTGGCACTGGAGGATCTGGTTTAGGGTTTAGGGGTTGCAGCAGTGACAGGTTAATGGTTGGACTTGAGATCTTAGGGGTCTCATCCAACCTTGATGGTTCTTTGATACATTCCATGCCTTCCTGCCCAGTAACCATCCGAGCAGTGAATGCTGCCTGTGCCTCAGTTTCTTGAGCAATAAAGAAACAAAACATGGGACTATTTGTCTCACAGTGTGTCTCCTTGTGAAACACTTGCCAACAACCCCAAAGGGCTTACCCTGATGTTAAGCACATTATCACCCAACTGCCACAAACCCCAAGTGAGACCATTCCATGCCTTCCTGCCCAGTAACCATCCGAGCAGTGAATGCTGCCTGTGCCTCAGTTTCTTGAGCAATAAAGAAACAAAACATGGGACTATTTGTCTCACAGTGTGTCTCCTTGTGAAACACTTGCCAACAACCCCAAAGGGCTTACCCTGATGTTAAGCACATTATCACCCAACTGCCACAAACCCCAAGTGAGACACCAGTGACACTGCCTCCTGCTGTCTGAAAGCCCAAGATCTAACAAAGACTTTCTTGAACACTCTTACAGCCCCAATACTCCAGGGAGCTGTAGCTCATTTTGCAACTCAAACGTTTGATCCTGCAACTCTGGAAAAAAGTGCTGAACAATAATTGAGCAGGTTCTGGTGTTGGAAGGGACATATTAAGGGAAGAAAACCAGTTGGGAGATGCCTACAGCACCTGCAGGCACAAGAACTGAGCCTGGGGAGCAGGGCTGAACTGGAATACAGAAGGCACTGCCCAGAAGGTTTGAGAGACCTGCACCAATGGAACAAACCTAAGAGAGGTGATAAAACGAAGCCAAAAGCAATTGCCAACATGGTCAGAGCAAAATGATGTTAGACAGTGCAGAAGGAACTCCAAAGTTAAGACTGTTCAAAGCACAAACTTGAATTTAGTATAAAAGCAAACCAAATACATTTTTAATTCATTTCAATCAGTCTACACACCCTAAAGAAGTTTTTCTGCCAGAGCTGCAGGAAGTGAGATTTGCATTTCCCAGGACACAAACTATGTTCTACCAGAGCTTCAAAACACAAGCTCAGCAGTGTTGGGGACTGGACTCCTTTTATTTGGCTTTGGATGAGGCATTTATGCATTCAAAGGCAACAGGAAAAGTAGAAAGTCTTTGGAAAACACAATTATGACAATGCAGGACAGACATGAGGCATATCTGGAGCTCAACCAAACCCAAACTGGATAACAAGGAAGCAAAAGATGAAGCTGTTAAGCCCAGTGACAGTTTCTGAGTGGTACCAAGCACACTCAGGTCAGCAGGTTTAGTCGAGGAAGGAGACTCTTACTTGTCCTTTCTCTACATTCAACTTGGCTAATTTCATAAGGTGATTGAACCTCAGCCAGATCTGAGCCATTAGATCGAACTTCATCCTCTTCTAGACAGCTTAATGGAATCTAACAGAGTACTGCAAGTGATGTAAAAAGCTAAAAAAAGCACCAGCATGATGGTCCAACAACGCTGTTCCTCTGACAATCCTTCCTGCTGCTGTGAACTGGGGACCTCAATAAACGAGCCCAGTCAGTCTGCACTGCACACCAATGTTTACTGAGATGTTATCCACTAGGGATAAAGATTGGGTTGGTTTCTTTTTAGTTTAAGAATATGGCAATTTCCCATTCTTGCAAGACTCACCTAAGTCACTTCTGCTTTCCTCAAGGATGTGGTTTTTTCTCAACATAATTTTTACTTTTGCTGCATTGCCTCCACAATGACCCAAACCTATTGCCTGGGCTCAGCCACACCACAAGATCATTTCCTCCATCAGGTCATCCCTACTTATAGAATCATAAAATCATCAAGGCTGGAGGAGATCTCTGAGGTCAGAAGTCCAACCATTAACCTGTCACTGCTGGAACCCCAAACCAGATCCTCCAGTGCCACATCCAGACACCTCTGAAACACCTCCAGGGATGGTGACTCCACCACCTCCCTGGGCAATATCCCAGGGCCTCAACACCCTCACAGGGAAAACATTTCCCCTCACATCCAATCTGACTCTGCCCTGGCTCAGCTCAAGTCCATTCCCTCTAGTCCTCTCCCTGCAGCCCTGGCAGGACACACATCCCCCACTTCTCTCCAGCCCTGGCAGGGAGTTGCAGAGAGCCACAGGTCACCCCTGAACCTCTTCTCCAGGCTGAACAAACCCAATTCCCCTCCTAATTTCCCTTTGGATGAAAACTTAAAGAAATGGAAAAACACCTTAAGACTGACTTTCTCCTAGCAATGGGTACCTAAACTTGCCCAACAGCTGATGTACAGTTCCAGTTAATGGTACATCCTTCAGTCACAGTCTGAGGTCATTTAGTCACTGCTGAAATCTGGTTTTCATATAACTTTTAATCCAAGAACAGCACTAATTTACATTGGAGCAAAGAATGGAGGGCTGAGCCTTTCCAGGAGATCTAGGCTGAAGCCACTGCTCCAGTTACCTGCATGTTCATGCAAGTTGAAGATGGAAACTATTTTCCAGCTCTTCTGTTTCCAAATGCCACTGTGAATTCTGGCAATCAGAGGCTCCTGGCACCAGGAGCTTTCCATGCATCTCACACCCATATTTTTCTCACATTTTCATTTTCTTTCTGAATCAAAAAAAGGACATTGTTTTCACCTGTTAAATGCCAGTGGCAACTGTCCAAAGCCCAGGATGAAGGAACCTAGATCATAATTCAATAGCACCAAACATAGCAGCTTCTTTTAAATAACAGCTTCCTCTGTACTGCTGCAGATAAAGGTCATGTGTAAACCTTGTTTATTTTTAGTTCAGCATCATTTTTCTCCATGAAGTATTAACCATTTTGCTAAAAGCAACATTGCTAATCTAGTCTAACAACTATTGCGGAACACAAAAGTTAGCTGTGTGAACACACTCAAGCTGCAAATCACCAGCAAAGAAGGGGCTGAGAACTTTCTGCAGCACTATTTATAGTGGCCACTGTGGTCCTTCAACCTGCTGATCACAGATCTATCTGCCATGCCCCACTCAGAAACTCCAGGGGGAACTTGTCTGCATATCACCTACTGCTCCTCAAGCCCAGCTTAGGTCCAAGCCCAGCAAAGCTCAACTCTCTGCAACCTATTTCTGCCACATCTCTGCTGGTTGCAGTAGTTGCTAGCAGGAAGATGAAGCAGATTAACCTTAGTGTCACAGCTTGCACAGAGGTATGTGCAGCTCTCAGGGCTCTGGCAGCCACTTTGGTCTCACACCATTTCCAGCAAACACATTCAACAGCTCCACTGGCAGCACTGACAAACCTCCTCTCACAGGGATGCACAGCACTCCTACCACACATGAACTCAATAGCTTCCACAGCATCCCAGACTTGCCAGCAGACCTGTCCCACTCCTTCACCACGCAGGGTGAAAATAACATCCACTTCCCCTTGACCTGCTATGCTGAATGCCATAGAAAAATGCCACAGAAAACCATGAACTGCTCTTGCCATGACAAGTCTGTGTAAGCTGCATCATGCAGTTAAGGGAACATTTCAGACTGTTCTCATCTTTAGGGACCAAAAGAATTTTCCTGGGGTAGAAAGTTTAGCTTGGGAGTTGCTGCTGTACCTCCATTACTACCAAACCCTTTGCTTTCTAGGAATAGCAAAGTTTACTCTACTTTTGTGATTAAATATATGTATAATTGAGTGTTCTAAGACTGTGATCATTTCCTAGTTGTAGCAGTCCAAAAGGCAAAGTTGCCCTTTTCATTTGAAGGGAACAAACAGTACCTAGAGATCAAAGCTCCTAAGGGTTTTGAGAAGAGACAAAATATTATTCTCCTTTGATAAAGGCATAGTTTGGGATTATATGGAGCAAACCTGTTCAGTCCTATACATGCAAAAAAGGATCACAAAGCAGCATGAAGTATATGCAGTTCTTACACACATTACATCACTTCAGATCTATTTCCATCCATGTTCTTGTATGGAATTTTTCCATTTTAAACAGTTTTAAAGTAGCAACATACATGGAAAACACTAGAGGAAGATCAGCACTCTTAAAAAGGAGATACTCAAGCATGAAGACTTACTTGCATTCCCCTGGGACACTGCAACCCCCATGGAGCAAATTACATCCTTGTTTGCACACAGCTGTAAACAGAAAAGTGTTTAGGCATCAGTCTGGGTAGGAAGATGTCCCTGAGTGCAGCAGCAACCCAGAGCCCTTCAACTAGGGCTTCTGTCAGCCTGTCTGTGGATTGTCACAGCACTTTGCCTTTTACCTTGCTCCAACAGCTGCTGTTCCTCAAAATAGTCTCACTACAACCAGAGTTTGCAGCAAGTGTCAGTCAACAATGAAACATCCATCAAACACAGGTGGTTTTATAAGATGATATTAGACTGGGATTATGCTGGAAGCCCCAAGCTCCAAAGCCAGGTTGGATGAAGCCTTGAGCAACCTGCTCTGGTGGGAGGTGTCCCTGCCCAGGGCAGGGGGTTGGGACTGGATGGTCTGTAAGGTCCATCCCAACCCCTCAAATCCTGTGATTTTGCTTTGAAGCAAACCCACCATTGAATAAAGTCAGTTACAGAGTCAGTGAGGTTGGAAGGGACCACAGTGGATCATGTGGTACCACACCTCCCTGCTCAGGCAGGGCCAGCTCAGATCACATGGCTCAGGGTTGTGTCCAGATGGTTCTGGACACAGATGGTTCTCAATGAGGAGAATCCACGACCTCTCTGGACAATCTGTTCAGCTCAGTGACTGTACAGGAAAGAAGTTCTTCCTCATGTTCAGGTGGAACTTCCTGGGCATCAGTTTGTGCCGTTCCCTCTTGTTTTATTGGTTTCCCCACTGAGCAGAGTCTGATCATCCTCTTGGCACTTCCCATTCATGGACTTGAATCCATTAATGAGGTTCCTCAATCACTAGTTTGAATCCTAAATCTGTGTGGAGCACACACCAAGAGCAACACTGTGTCCTGTGCACCACCTTTCCCAGAGGATGTTGTATCTCAAAGATTTGCATTCAAAGGACAAAGTCTGTCTGTGCTGAAAATCACAGGCTCCAGCACTGACACCACAGAAACACACACTGCGCTTTATACCTCTTATAACTATGCTAGAGCTAACTAGAAGGAGCAAACATACCTTGTTTACATTCTTCTCCCATCCAACCTTCCATGCAGGCTTTGTTCCCATTCTGATCACAAGTGTAGTGCCCAACAAAGTCATCCCGAGGGCCACAAAACTTATTGCACAGAGCACTGTAGTAGTTCTCATCACACTTCACTCTTATTTGGACTTCAAAATGGGCAACAGGACCATTAAACTGGAGTGTCTTCCATCGATCTTCTGGGTTGATCATGCCAGCGTGAGCCACTCGCTCTATTAACAGGTCTTCACCTTGTTTGGAAAAAGGAAATCCAACAGGTGAGAAGTCGGATGGAACACCAGAACACAGAGAATCCAAGGTGGGAAGTCAGACAGAGCACAAGAACATAGAGAATCCAAGTTTGACAGAACACAAAAGCACATAGAATCCAATCAAACATGTTCAGTTCCTTAAGAGAAAAACCTAGGAAAGAAAAATGTTGAGATGATAAAGATCTACTGTATAGCTGAATTTTCCTTTGCCTTGCAAAATTCATTACAGGAAGGCCAATTTAAAAAAGCATCCCAAAGGAAATATTAAAAAACCCTGGAACATAATCCATAGGAAATAACTTATTTTTCAAGGCAGCCAAACACACCACACCCACACTCTGACAACCAGCAGATTTATCTTCATCTCAGGCTCTTTTTGCCTCCTTTTTGTTCTTATAAGATTGCAAAATCTGCATAATCTAGTAGCTGAGGTATCCAAGTTCTCTGCTGGGAGTTGCATTGTAAAGCTGAAGTAAAACACAACATATTCCATTTGCTGCAGTTACTGAGCAGTAGTAAAAGCTCTGGCAGGTTCACATGGAGTAAATAAACCAACTTGTTTCCATTTCACTCTCTGCTATGAGGCAACACATCTTTAAGTAACATTTCCTGTGCAGTTAGGATTTGGCATTTTGAGAAGAGAGAAACAAGTGAACCCAAGACTGTCAAGGGCCATTCCCAACTCTGTCTCCTGCTGATCCTTATCCCCAGTAAAACTACTTCCACCTGTGATCTCTGTTCCAATATGAGCATCCTGCTCTGTCCTCACAGAGAGGAGTTTACCCCAACCCTGGCAGTGTTTAAAGGTTGGCTGAGCCTTGAGCAACCTGCTCTGGTGGGAGGTGTCCCTGCCCAGGGCAGGGGTTGGGGCTGGATGGTCTCTAAGGTCCATTCCAACCCCTAAAATTCTGTGATTCTACTGCCAGGGCCCACTAACTGAGACCAAATGTGCACAGAGTATTATCCAGCACAGGGGACAAGGGTATAAGATCATGGGAACAGCCAACACATGTTCATTATCATGAGTATCCATTTTTTATCCATATAATTCTTAGTCTGGAAGTTTCAGTACTAGGAGATGAGAATTCTGGTCAGCACAATGAAATTTATGCACTTGCTTCAGAAAATAGTCCTAAGAAGCAAAGTAAGGGTAAGGAAAGACAACAAATAACTCCAGTGATAGGAGTTTTCTAATGGTTTCACTGTTCAAATCTGGTAAGATCCTACTGCAAGAGCTGTTCTAGGTGACTACAAGTTGTGGCTGGAACTCCAAGCATGATTTAAGGCGAGGGAAAAGGTAGAGAAGTTTCACTTAAACACATTCATTTCATAGCCACTTATGAAAGAGTTACAACATGGGCAGCTCAGAGCTTCAGGATAATCTTTCTTTAAAGAAAGAGTCTTTGAAGTGCACGTTCAAAGAACCCAAACCTTCTAGGCAAGAAGAGGCTGCAATGGCAGTGAGACAGCCCCAACTCAAAGGGTTAAGGTAAGACATGCCAAGCTGGTAGGAAGTGCTTTAAGCTGCCACTTTCAGCAAACACATTTTACCTGATTCCTTCCTAGAACTCCTTAACCCAATCTGTTCAGAAAACAAAGCTGAAGGAGTGATTGTTTCTCAACCAGAAACTTACTGACAGTGTGGGAATACCCTGTGCATCTCTTACCAAAGCAGCATTTTCCCCTCAGCATGTAAAGGGAGTCAAGGCACAACTTTCAGTCACTCCAACACTGAAGGAAAAGCAAAGCTACAGAAGCAGCAGGTTCTGCAATGTGTTTGGTTACATTAACATCTTTTTTCAAGCTTGCTTCTAGAAAGATGTTTCCTCTTAAAGAATATTGAACTCAGAAAAACCCTTTTAATCAGGCACTGAAAGGTGCTCCAGCTATTTTGAACTCATAGTATCTCTCTGCTTTAGAACTCGAAGGAGTATTGCCATGGATAAGCTGCAGCTCCTGCCTGGACCAACTGCATCAAACATTCCATGGCAGCCAAGACACACTGAGGTCTATCCCTGTCCCTTAACTCCCTCTCTCCTGGGCAGGAATCTCACCCAGCAGCACAGTGGACAAGAAACATGTAAGAGAAAATGCTGCCTGCCTTTCATGTCTAATGGAACAGGAAATTTATCTCACCAGTCACTCTTAAAAGCTTCTTGATCAAAGAATTGTTTACGTTGCAAAAGACCTTTGAGATCTCTGAGTCCAACCATTCCCTCAGCACTGCCAAGGCCACCACAAAACCATGTCCCCAAGTGCCATATCCACATGTCTTTTTAATCCCTCCAGGAATGACAACTCCACCACTTTCCTGGGTAGATTTCAACATCCTTTCCTAATCTTGTTCTTCTCCAATGACTATGGATCTGCAAAACTGCAGGGGAAAATGTGCTGAGTCACTAGATGGTGAAAGAAAGTTGAACAAACACCAAATAGGCACAGCAGTTTTCCAGCTATACAAGCAACATCAGCTCCTCAAACACAGTGGCAGAAGCCACTGCTGTAAAAGTGTCTCCTCCAAGTGCATAAGATGGACTGAAGAACAGGAGTGGCTTAGGCAATAAAACCCTTATCAGGCACCTTCAGGCTAATGGAGATCCATCAGACCCAGCCAAACAACTGAAACAAGCATTACAGCCACTGCAAAAGGCAGAAAGGCCTCTTGATGGCCAGGGCTGAGCACAGGGGAAATAAGCCAAGAGTGCTTTTATTTTAATACTCAAGCTTTATCTTCACAAGCTCCTGTGAAACAGAATGTATTCAGAGTCTGAAGGGGTTTTCCTCAAGTTTTATCAGTACAAGGAGGGTTTAACAGCCTAAGTAAGCAAGGCAAATAATATACCCTGAACCACGAAAAGGCATAAGGAAATTAGCTCTAAGTCATTTAGTTTCTTATAGTAAATTCTGAAGCACCAGAGTAAGTATGAGAATTCTGCTTTCCTTCAAGTTGATCCCAAGTTGAAGGTGCATCTCCCAAAGAGAGCTGCAATCACAGGGAGGAACATATTTGTCAGAGTTCCTTCCTCTCCCACAATACCCAAGTGTTTCTGAAGGAATTCAGCCTCTCACCACCAGGTGCTTTGATGAGAAGTTTGCTCCCTGCATCCAGCTCTGCCATGCCAGTTCTCCTCAGTTCACACACTCCTTCCTTTTAGCCCTCAGTAAAGGCTGACAACTGAATCTGTGTGGCTTTTGGTCAGACAACAGAAGCTCTCATTACTCAAACTTACACACACCTCTCCCAAGCAATAAAGCTTCTTTCCCTTGATTGCTGAGAACTTTTCTCCAAGCCTCTCTAGGAAAGGACATCATGGTACAGATATTGGCATAAAAGGATGGATAAAAGGTGATTCTTTAATCAATGTTCCCAGAGCATGGGATTTTTGGAAGAGAAGCCTTTTCTGGGCAATCTGTGGCCAGGATACACTTAACTAAGAACACTGCTCATCAATACCCTGAGTTCTAGTAAAGCTCAGACAGTCCCAACAAGCAGCTCACAGGGCAAGACAAGAGGTGCTGCTGGCAGCTCTTGGCAAGGGAACACACGTGAAAGCACATCAACCTCATATCCAAAGGAACAGGAGGTGCCCCACTCAAGAAGCACATTCTGTACAGCCTCTTCCAAGCACCCATTTCCAAAAGCCACATGGACAGATTAGTCTCCTGCAGACTAATGGGAAAGAGGAAGGCAACAACTGCATCCCTGCAGCAGACAGAATCATCAGAGTTGGAGGAGATCATCTGAGATCATCTAGTCCAACCATGAACCTGTCACTGCTGCAACCACTAAACCAGGTCTTCCAGCACCACATCCAGACACCTCTGAAACACCTCCAGGGATGGTGACTCCACCACCTCCCTGGGCAATATCCCAGTGCCGGAACATCCTAACAGGGAAAACATTTCTCCTAACACCTCATCTGAATCTCAAGACTAATAGAGAAGTTCAAATGTTCCAGATCTTCTTAGGAGAAGCTGTGTAAAAGACCATCAAAGCAGTCAGAGGAGTAACAGCTTCCTAAAAAAACAGTGTCATGTCAGGTGAGTGGAAGAAATTGCTCTAAACTTCAGTCAGCCCAACAGGAACAGTTTGGAATTAGTCAGCTAGAGTAAGGGAATCATCAAGGTTGGAGGAGACCTCTAAGATCATCAAGTCCAACCATTAACCTGTCACTGCTGGAACCCCTAAACCAGATCCTCCAGTGCCACATCCAGACACCTCTGAAACACCTCCAGGATGGTGACACGTGGTGAAATGGAAAGTTACTTCCCACATGACAACTCCAGTTGCTCTGTAATGGCAGGGCCAGGGGAGGCATTGCCAAGGCCTCTGCTACACAACTAGGGGTTTGCCAAGCCAAATGACTTACCTGGAAAGCAGCACGAACTGCAGTGACAGATGACAGCAAACAGGCCCTTACAATCACTTTGTATCTCTGCCAGTTTCCTCTCCCCTCCTGCAGCCTCCCAGAGCAAACAGGAGGTAACACTACACTGCCACGAGCTTCCTCAGCCACCCCTGCTGTACCACAGGAGGGAACAACGCAGGAACAGTTGGGGAAAGTCTGAAAGACTTGGAATTTGTAGTTTGAGGTAAGTACAGGGGAAACATCTGCCCTGCACAGACCTGCTCTTAGCACCCTTGCCTTGCTGTGGATGAGTGCAGGGAAGGATAGAGGATGCTAGGACACAGGGAGGGAAGAGTGACAACTGTTCTAAAACCTGCAAGGTGTTCCCTGGAATCTCTTCTTTCCCGGTTTTGGTTGCTTGATGTTTTGGTTGGGTTTTGTTGTGTACTGTTCTTATTTTGTTGGGCATTGTTTAATTTTGAATGGGCATTTTGGGCTCTGGTTTCTTCTCATTCTGGTTTTCATACCCACTTGAGAGTCTAAGCTGGAACATAGGACCTACGTTTATCTTTCAGCCTTACTCATCCCCATT